TTCCTTAGATTTAGTGTGATACACTTTTTTCCAACCTTTACTTTTAACTTGCCTTTTGCTATATTTGAAGCAAGTTTCTTATAGACTGCATATAGTTGGATCAGTTTTTAAAATTTTTATTCTGCCAATCTCTGCCTTTTCATTGGTATATTTATACCATTTACATTTAATGTAATTGTTGATGTTCGGGCTTAAGTCTTCCATTTTATTTTTTCTCTGTTTTCTTTTTCCTACCTTTCTGTGGGTTCCTTAAACAGTTTTCAGAAGTTCAAGTGAAGAACAGGAACCTTACCTCCTTTTACATCCCTTTACCCTCCCCCATTCATAATATAATTATCTTAAATATTTCTTCCACATACATTTTGAAACACATCAGACAGTGCTATGATTTTTGCTTAGGCCATCAAACATAATTTAGAAAACTGAAGAGAAGGAAAGTCTATTTTATTTACTTTTTTTTTTTTTTTTGGTATGCGGGCCTCTCACTGTTGTGGCCTCTTCCGTTGCAGAGTACAGGCTCCGGACCCGCAGGCTCAACGGCCATGGTTCACGGGCCCAGCCGCTCCACGGTATACGGGATCTTCCCGGACCGGGGCACGAACCCGTGTCCCCTGCATCAGCAGGCGGACTCTCAACCACTGCGCCACCAGGGAAGCCCCCTATTTACCCGTATTTTTGTTTACCATGCTCTTTGTCTCTGATGTTCCAAGGTTCCTTCTTTTACTGTTTCCTTTCTGTGTAAAGAACTTCTTTAGTCATTTTTAGCATAGGTTTTCTGGTGACAAATTCTGTTAGTTTTCTCCATCTGAGAATGTCTTGATTTCCTCTTCGTTCCTGAAGGATATTTCTGCTGTGTTTTTAACTTGGCTTGACAGTTATTTTCTTTGAGCACTTGAAAATTTTTGCATACTTTCTCTGGCCTCCATGGCTTCAGGTGAGTAAACTACTGTCATTCGAATTATTTTTTTCCTATAGATAAGGTGTTATTCTTTCCTCTGGCTGCTTTCAAGATTTTTCTTTGTCTTTCTTTTACGGAAGTGTACTTTTTACGTCTTAGGGTAGATTTCTTTTGGTTTATCCTGTTTGGGTTTTGTTCAGCTTCTTGAATCTGTGGGTTTATGTCTCTTGCCAAATTTGGGAAGTTTTCAGCCATTATTTCTTCAAGTTCTTTTTCACCCCACCCTCTTTCTCCTGTCCCTCCAGGACTCAACGAAATGAACGTTAGATCTTTTGCTATAGTCCCACAGGTCCCCGGAGGCTCTGTTCAGTCTTCTTCCAGTCTACTTCCTGTCTGTTTTTTATATTGGTTACTTCTATTGTTCTTTCAGTTCACTCTTTTCTCTGTTGCCCCTAT